AGCCCCGCCGCGCCCCCGCCACAGGGACCCCGCTGGGCTCCCGGGGGAGCTGAGGGGACCCGCGGTGGCGGCTGCTTCTGGGAGTGCGGACAAACTGTCTGCCGGGTGAAGCTGCAGAAAAAATAATAACTGCGGCCTTTATAGGAAATTTCCAGGAAATTAGGTTTTTAATTCGGATGAATTTTAATTCAGAACATTTCATCCAAAGGTCTCCGACTCTTTGAACATCACTGAATTATACTTCATTCTACCAGCGGGGAGGTGGGGAAGAAGCCAGGGAGGGACCTGGTATGGACTCAGCAAAGGCCACAATGCTGAATTTTAATAAAAATTCCATGAATGTGATTAATGAACAGGCCCATGGGCCCAAAATCCCCAGGGGGCAATGCTAGATCCCTAAAATCCATAAATCCCCTCAGCACAGAGGGGTTCCACAGCTGAAGGGACCCTCACAGGGCACACAGCCCTTTGGCTTGTCTTTTTACATCCTTTGTGAATATGAGAAATGATCAATACAAAACTTCTGCAATGTCTGGTTTCCTGCCCATGGTTGGTGAGGCAGAAAGCTCTTGCCTGGCACTGGGGAAGAAATGACACACGTGACAATTCCTATTTCAGGATGGGAAAACAATCAAAAGTCCTTTATGGGAAAAATAAAGACTTTGTTCCTACAGAAGCACATGATTGAGCAGGTTCAGTGGCCTGAGGAGGGGTTTCAGGAGAGTTTGTGCAGCTGGAGCCAGCCCTCACAGCCACCCTTGGCTTCCTGTGGAATACTGCTGGAAAAAACAACGTAAAAAAAGGAATTTTTTCATTTTAATTTTTTATTTTGTAAAACCTTTTAAATACAACAAACCCACATCTCATCGGGCATTATCGCTTGCAACATAGAGGAAAAACACTTTTTATGAATTCACATATAACTACATTCCACAAAGCCCACCAAAAAAAATATTAATGTCATGGTCAGCACAGGACTCATGTGGAGCATTGCCTCTGCTGGTGTGTCAGAGCTGCGGGCACAGTGCCCCTCCCTGGCTGTGCAGGGGGTGAGGAATCCTTCACTGCTCTGCTCCTGCCTTTTTGTGCCTTCCACACCCCCTGGGGAGCAATTCCAGCACCTCTCCAGTGTGCTGAGACAGGGGCAAAGCCCCCCCAGCCCTGAGACCCTGCAGGATGTCAGGTGTGAGGAGATGGGGATCAGTCCCAGAGAGGAGCATTCCATTCATCTGATCATCCCTGGCAGTTTCCATTTGCCTTCATGAGGATGATTCCCAGGCCTTGCCTAGCTCTGCTCCTGGGTTTTGGGACTGGCTGGAAACCCAAGGAAGCTGAGTGAAAATTTCTTTGGTACCAAGAATTAACCTTTCTTTCCCAAGTGACTTGTTTTCCTTGTCTCATGAGACTCTTCTTAAACCAGCTGCACTGAACTTCCTTGTCCAGCCTCATCTTCCCCAAACAGCAACCTCCAACAGAGAGACAGCACTGCTTCCAAAAAACTTCCAAAACTTCCCACTCCTGTTGCTGTTCTTGTCATGCCAGATTGTCCCCCAGATTCCTAGCTTGTTTGGTTTTATCTGTATTATGCACATTAGTACCAGGCACGTCTCAAAATCCCTCAGCAAACAAGAACAAGCCAAATGCTATTTTCCAAAACCTTACTTTTCTGGAAGCACAATACTGAGGTGTCCCACCAAGATCTGCTCAAGCCATCCAAGTGCTGTGGCTTTCTGTTCTGGGATTGAGGGATCCCACAGGGACAACTCCCCTGTGCCTAATCACAAAGGAAGTTTGCAAACAAGCCCTCCCTTCCTTAGCAGCCTGAGGCCTGAACATCCATCTCACTCTTCAGAGCACGCTGCTTCCTATGGCTTCTGATGCTTCTGCTCACTGCTGGGAAAGACCAGAACTGCTTCAGTCTCCACATAATTAAAATTAACCCCAAATCTCTTAGAACAGCCTTGCCACAAGGGTAAGGAAGCAAAAGCAAAGGGGAGCTGAAGGGACACCAGGGTGACAGGACACAACCAAAGACTTTTTGAGGCATCTCTGCTGGAGACTGGCAGTTGAAGGACCCCCAGGTGGCCTTGGCACCCGTTGGCAGAGGGACAAGGGGGCAATGTGATGTGGAGGGGCGAGAGGGAAGAAACATGGGGCAGCTCCAGACATGCCATATCACATCCCTGTGTGCTGCAGGCTGAGCTTACTACACAGCCTGTGTGTTCCTGGGTCTGCCCAGGCTCTGCACAGCATAAACAACACAGGAGCAGCTGTGGCTGCCCCATCCCTGGCAGTGCCCAAGGCCAGGTTGGAGAGGACCTGGAGCAACCTGGGATAGTGGAAGGTGTCCCTGGCCAGGGCAGGGGCTGGAACTGGATAGTCTCTAAGGTCCCCTCCAATCCAATCTATTCTGTAATTTTTTTGTCATTCTGTTTGTGGAACTCATCCAGGAGCAGACCCTCAGTTTGTTTGGGATGCTGAATCTTTGCTGCAAAACAATGACACAGAATGAGACCAGAGCTCCTGCAGGGAAGGAGGGCTACCTGCAGCAGAGACAGGTGTTTAACTGCCTCATTGTCCACAACAGAACACAAATGCATTTGATATCATGACAATCAAAACTGTAGGTTTATTTACACTCATTTTCATATGGCAGTGTTTTCAAATGACAGGTATTACACAGAAAAATGACTTGAACAAGATAATTTCCCCTCTAACACTGGTACAATGCTCACTTGGAGAGAAGGAAGGGAGATGTGTTGCACTGCAGTCACTCTCACTTTGGATCTGGTGTTTTGTTAAAGTGTGAGTGTGGTGAGAAAGAGAGGTGGGCAGTTGGCCACAGGTGAGGCAGGGTTGCACAGGAGTTTATCTCTCCTCCTCCACTCCGAGGACATGGAAAGGTGGAGCCTGCTGGCTGGGGAGTCCTGCCTGGGCCAGGAACACTCCTGGTGGGTGAAGGTCCATGGCTGCCCAGGAGCTGTTGTAACACAGGACACTCCCCACAGGAGCCAGGGTCAGCCCTGCCAGGACAATCTGCACCTCAAAGTGCTGTGACCACTGCTGAGCCCTTCGAGGGCAGCACGTGTCAGGGCTTTGCTGCTCCTTCTCCACCTGCCCTCCACACAAGTGTGCTTCATTTCTACCGGTGGCTGCCCCTCTGAAACCAGCTCTGCCTGGCACAGCTTTCCTTTCTGTGAAAAATGCGTATTTTGTGATTGGCTTTTCACAAACATTAAAGTGAATATTATATGTGTTGTGTTAGAAAGTAATGCTGGATTACTCTCTTAAGTAGTATGTTACATATAGTTTTAGGTTATAAAAATGTTAAAATAGAAACAATGTTATGTAAGATACTTTTTTTAAAGAAAAGACTTGCAGCGAGATAGCAGCCACAGGACACCTAAATTTTTCAGAGATAAAGAATTTATTGCCTTCTTATCAGAAGAAATGAATTTCTTCCCGCCTCGAAGGCGCTGTTAAGATTCAGAGGAAGACGTTGAAGATGACCAGACAGAATCCTGTATTTAAATGGAATTTATGCATCATGTATGAAGTGTATGAATGTGAAACAGGTTATTGTTTTTAAAGGTTAATCCTCTGTTAATGGGTGTCCCTTTTGGGGCTCATGCTGCCCAGAAAAAGGTACCCAGACATCTGTAACTCTTTGTCTCCATTGTCTCATATTTTCCTAATTCAAATTGTCCAAATTATTATTACTCTAATTGTATTACTATTTTAAAAACCATTTTATTACTATTAAACTTTTAAAGTTTTAAAAACAACTGATTGGCGTTTGTCACACTTTGCCTGCCTAGGGGCCACTTTCCATCACTGAGCTATGGAAGAGCTTTCCAAAGCCACTGGAAACGCCTGGGTGCTACAGGAGCTCTTCCTGCTCTGTCTGATTCTTCGCAAATCTTTACAACCCCTGCGTGGTTTGGAAGTTGATAAAAGCGATGCAGGTTTGTTCGCAGGGTGTTTGCCGCGGCCTGACTCCCCTGCGTGCCCCGGAGCAGCCCCGTCGGGCCGGGCAGCAGCGGAAGGGGGCTCTGAGATGATCTGGGCGCAGTCTTCAGCGGGTACCCGGAGGGTGACCCGGCCGGCCGGCACTTGGTGGCACTTCCAGACTTGCTGCCCCAGCTGAGGGACCCCTCAGGTGACACTGGCAGAGCTGCAGGACGCCGGTCATCACCGCTGGGACGGGCACCCGGAGCTCCTGGCCCAGCAGCGGCTGCTCCGTGCCCTCCCTGCCCCGGCGGTGCCCCGGGCACGGGCAGGACGCGCTGCCGGAGCTGCTGCAGTGCGGGAAGAGCCGCTGTGCCACGGGGGTGCCTCGGCCTGTGCCCAGCCATGGCAGCAGGGACCGGGCAGCCCGGGCAGCCCAGCACCCCTGCCCGCCCGCAGCGCCAGGAGCAGGCCAGGCTCCGGCCCCGCTCCGTGCCGGGCCACACGCGGGACACTGAGGGAACAGGAGGGCACAGCCCAAAGGCCAGAGCATCCTCATCCTCATCCTCACCCTGCCGCAGGAGGGCAGGGCTGGCTCCTGCTCTGCCCCTCGGGCTGTGCCCGGGTGAGCAGCAGCGCCCACAGCCAGCGGGCAGTTTGTCACCTGTGCTCGAGAGGGGCGTTCAGCCCTTGGAAAACACGAATAAACTGCTGCAGCTCCATGGCAGAGCCTGGCTCCAGCTCATCCTCGTGTGAAAGCAGCACGAGCTGACGGGGAGTACTGCAAACCTGGGCAGAAACAAGCCGGCCACATTCCAGATCATAATTTGTCACATTTAGTAAAGGCATCTTTTAAAAATTTATTTACTTTGTTTGTGTTTATTTTGTTCCTTTTAAAATCGTTTTCGTTTTTCCCAGCCCCTTTGTATTTTGTGTTCTGAGCTCCTCACTGACACTTCCATGACAAAGTTTCAGGACAAATTTTGCTTCAGAGCTGTCAGATGCCTGCAAGGGCCAGGCTGAGATCAGCACAGGTACTCTGCACACACACATCTCTACAATACAACCCTTTATTTCACAATGCCCATCTCACCTGTACCAAGGGAAACACCAGGTATTTCTTGGTACCTCATGTTAAATTTATCAGATCTTAAATTCATTAGATGTTAAATTCATCAGATCAAACAGATGGGCTCAAAATACTAGAGACACTGGGCCAATTAGCAGATTAAAGGTCTCCATGTTGGATACATCTGTGCTATACTGATGTTGCTTTTAAACAGAGAAAAAAAAAAGGAAATTATTTGGAATACCTTTACTTCTCTTAGCTGAAACCTAGGGGCATAGGTCTCATCTTCCAATTATTTTCAATTTTCTCTTTTTTTGCAATGCAGGCCATGATTGAGCAGAACACTTCAGAACATGCTTTATTTTAAGATTCTGGATAATTGCTGTGAAATTGTTATTTGGGACATAGGAGTGCCCTTTTGAATCAAGACAAAGTCTTTTACTCCCAAACATATACACGGTATCCAGCATCAGAAGTTGGTGAATTCAGTTAATAAGGAGGAATTTAATCTTTCAAAGTGTTTTGTGACATTTCATGTGAAGTTCTGCACTGACAATGACTCGATCACATATTTTGCAGCTGTTCATAGAGAACCTCCATGCCCAAGGGACAGATCGGGGCTGGGACAGAGCAGAAAACCCCAGACCATCTCCAGAGAGGTTCAACCCACAAAACTGCCTCCTTCCCTTCCAACGGAGCCTGAAGAGGTCTGCTCCAAGACCCATCTCTCCATCCTTGGCCAGTGACCAACTCTAGTGCTGATGACAGAGAAATAAATAAATAGATTTGGTGTCCCTGTGGTGAAGTCTCTTCTTGGTGGCACAGAGCACGTCACAGATACAACATTGTGCTTCCCCTGTCCCAGCTGAGGGCATGGATGCACTTGGATCAGGAAATGCTGCTGATGGTGCCGTCAGTGGGAGCTGCTCTGCTCCCCTCATGGGTGGCTGCACTTCAGCAGAGCATGAAAACACCTCTGCTCTCACTCAGCCCAACATGCTGCACTGGGCTGTTCTGGGATCCACAGCTCCCAGGAATAATTAGTCCAATATCTGCCCTGTGGCCCCAACCACCCCAAAATCAGCCCATGCCCTCGAGTGCAGGAGGGTGGCACAAACAGGGAGCCACAGGGTGCCTGGGGAGGGAGGTCAGGGTGAGTGGTGTCATCACCAAATCAAAGAGCAACACAACCATAAGCAGACACACATATATAATATGTACAGTGGCCATGGGTGCATTTGCACCATGAAGGAAAACATCACATTTCAGACCGCAGAAAATGATCAAACTCTGGATTTTTCAGTGCCAAGTGTCTCTAATAGCCAGCAAAAGGAACAGGAAATGTCCAAATGTGGGCTGAATGACCTGGTGCAGATGTCAGCTGGGGTATTCCTCCCTTCTCAATTTCAGACACAAAATGCAAGAGCATTCTTTTATTTTCACTACATGCTGTGGACAGAAAATTATCTCAGTAGTGTTTGGTTTGGTTTCTACTTTTTCTCTCACTCTCTTCAGCTTTTCCAGTAGATTCACTAGGACTAAAACACAGAGCTAAGGTACAGCCATTAATTCAGTCAGCAGAAATTCCCAAGCTTCTCTGTAGGAGTGACCCAGGCTTTTGGAACAGATTGAGATAATGCAGTGGAAGAAAAGCTCTGAACACACCTAAATGCTCTCCACGTGGTCTTCACGTGGATCTGTGGTTTTTCACTGTGGAGTACTGCTAAGATCTCCAAAAAAGTGTCTAAGAAAGTTAAACCTGCTACCATTAATCTGAAATTCACCAGTGAGGAGGTTAAACCTCTGTAAGAAAACTGCTGGGGGGTGCACAAGTTGTTAGAGGAAGAAGTTGTTAGAGGTGGTGAAAACCATTGCTCTGCTTACAAAATCAGATTGCCAGTGAGTCTGTGCAGCAACTGGATTCAAAATATTTACTGCCAAAATTCAAGGTAGGTAGTGATGTGGGCACAGGAACCTCCCTGGGATGCTGCATGTTGGCAAAAATCAGCTGGCCCAGATGGAGTATTAGAGCACTCCCCAATATTCCAGCTGCAGGCACCTACAAACATTCCATCAGGTTCTATTAATGACTGGCTTGCACTGGAAGCAAAGAAGGAGCTTGGGAAAGACAGGGAGATGAGGATAATCACCATCAATAATAACATCAGCTGCAGCAGCTGTTTTTTCCCTTGCTCATGTTCCTGATCCCTAAAAGTAAGATGCTGGCTAGAACTGAGCTTTGGAAAGACTGAACTATTAGCAAGACTGCCAAAAGAAAAGTGCTCCTGCCACCCCTGTAACAAGGCCTGGGCTGCTTGCAATCCAAAGGACTGAAAAATAAAAAGAGAGCTGGATGTTGCTGCTGCTGGCTCCTCTGTGCTGTCAGGGTGGGGAGTGCAGAACATGTTCCCAGCAGTATGGGGGCTGGGGAAGGGGCCACTTCAGAACATGCACATCACAGGGTTGTGTGTCAGCCTTGGCACAGCCCACGGCCCCGGGAGCTGCTACAAGATTGTGGCTCCAGCAGCATCTGCACTCCTGGGGTCCTTCAGGCCAATGATGAAACTGTTGGTTCTCCTGGCCCCGTGCACCAGGGACACCACTGGGACTTTATCCACCTGATGGCCCCTGGCCACAAGGAATTCAATATCTTCTTCAGGAAACTCACCTGCAGGGATTTGAAAAGAAAGTTGGTAACTGAAACCAGTGTTGCCTCTGCTGCAAAGGTCTGTCTAACACTGCTGGGGCCTGCAGTGGGGGGAACCTGCCTGCTGCTCCTTCAGAATGTCCAAATTCACAAATTAGGACCTTGTGAAGTTTCAGATTTAATTCCATTTTAACTTCCAAGTCTGCAGGGCACACCGCAGGACAGATCTTATTTAGATTTTCCTCTGAAATGGGAAAAGCCCAGAAACTTTGGCTATTTGGTGTGGAATGAGAACCAAATTTCACTTATGGTTGGCTCTGGTGAAGTCTGGGGCAGTGTGAAAAACACCAAATAGACCAAGACTGACAGTAACAAGGACAAGAGCTCACAATACAGACTGCAGAGGGCCAGCACTGATGCTGTGTTTTCAGCACTGTCAAGCTACAGCCCTTTCCATAAGCCTTGCCTTCTTCCCAGCTGCTGGAATTAAGGGACATGGACTGAAAAGTGAAGAAATATAATTTATGTCAGAGGGAATAAAGTGCAGGAAGCTTTGAGCACATGTCTGGGTGAAGTTGAGGCTGCAGTCTTGCTGAGTTGGATATTGTCCATGGCATCTGATCTCCAGAAGGATTTAAGGACAGGACAAGGCCACTGCCAGGAGATGAGCTGGGACAGAGGAAGGGTTGGGGAGAAGCACCTGAAAGAGCTTGGAGAGATGGTGCCAGAGGGGTCAGGAAGCATTTCCAGGACAAGAGGGAAAAGACATGGCTCAGCAAAGGCTCATGGCTCAAGCTTTGAAGAAGTTGAATTCTGATTTTTATCTTCCCCAAAACCCTCCACACCCCTGGGGACCCTAGAACATGGTGACCTGTGGTGCTTCCATTGCAGTGTGCTAGGGAAATCCTGCTCTTTTCCTAAACTTGCTGGATTTGTGTCCATTTGTGTCCCACCCAGTGTCCATACTCACTGTCAACCTGCAAGGTGTTGGACTGAAGCTGGGGGTGAAGTCGACCAAGTGACAAACTTTCACTCAGATTCTTGTTAAATGTTAAAACATTTACCAAAACCTGCAAGAGAATAAATTGTCCTCAATAATAAAAAAAGCTAGGAGAATAGGAGAAGCCAACTTCCTGAGCATGCCCCAAATTGGTGGCTCCAACATCTGCACGTGCAGCAGGCAAAGGAGATTTTGAACCATTTACTGAACTGCATGAACTGCTGCAGGGCTGTGCACACACTAACAGGTCCTTGGAATGTGGCTTGTATGTTGTTGCTTGTAAAGCAGGACATTTTCAGGATAGTATGGGCTTTTTGTCACATAGTTCCTGCTAAAGTAGCAGAGCTGTGTGTCTGGAACATGATGTAAGCTCTAAAGAAGTGTTTGTTACAGCCAAAAGCTCAGCATGTGACTTCTCCAAACAAAGCACTAGGAAGCAGTTCTTGGCTTTGGTTTTGCTCTGAAGAATGCTTTCCAAAAGGTAAGGAAACTGGGAGCCCTTCTCAGGCTTTTCTTTTCAGCAATCCATTACTGCTGTACATGCAATCAAGCTATTGGCAAGTACTTCACCTCCTTACAAATCATAAATTAAGAGGAACTGCCCAATTTATATTCAGTGTTGAGCTAGAAGAATTCAGTTGGGAATGCCTTAAAAGGAGCTTTTCGTGTGGAAAAGGGTTAAAGGGCTGCCAGTTTCCTGCAATTTGCTGAATAAAAAAATGCTCTTTTTTTTCTTAATCATCCTTAAGGTGAGTTTTGAACAGGTATTAGAATGACAAAAACCATTACAGATTTTGCCAAAATGCTTCTCCTCTACAGTTATGAGTGGTGCCACCAGGAAAGGTGCAAGAAAAGTAAACTGGTAACCCTTAGAGATTTGAAATAACCCAAGTGTGGAACTGGTGACACCAAAGTTTGAACCAGTAACCTGTGGCCACCAGTGTTGACCCAGCCTGGGACAATTAGGAAGGGAAAGGAGGGGACCCTCCTCAGCCTTGAGCGAGCAGCTGCCCAGGGAGGACGGGCACTGACCTGCACGATGCCGCTCAGGGCTCTGTCGCCGTGGTTGGCTGCCAGGCACAGGTAGGTGCCACACATCCCCTCCGAGGGCCTGACAATGGTGGGCAGCAGGAAGGAGCGCGGCCGCTTCCCGGGCTGAACCAGGTTTGGCTGCAGTTGAGGAAAAGTTGCACCAAAAAATGTCAACAAGCCAACTCTGCCACAGAAGGGACATGGAGCTCATCACCCTCTTCAAACAAGAAGGTTTTACAATGCATAAGGCAGCCTGGAAGCCACCAGCACAGGTCTGCATTTGTTTCTTTCCAAGACCTGAAGACATTTTTCCTGCTATTTGTTACTTTTTAACCTGAAGGGCAACAATTCATGAAGAAACTGCTTAATACAAGTCCACATTGTTACTTGAAGTGCATCTGGGCTGCAGGGAAAGTAGGTAACAGTGTTGTTTGGTAATTCTGCATTGTAATAATAACTTATGGACATGGAGCCCTCTGTTTTCTCACTTTCAGTGGCTTATGTAATGAAAAATAGCAGCTTTCTACAGGCTGTTGTCTCTGTTATTAATAAAGTACTAAATAGTTCCCCTGTTGTGAAGATAAGAATAAAACTGGGAAAAGAAAAGGTAAATAAAGAATTTGTCATGCCATTCATTACCGGCCTGGGGATGGAGTGGTTCATTGTTTTGTTTTGCCAGGAGAAGTCCAACATCTGGCTGTTCAGGAGGATTCCAGAGGGTGTTACTATTCCACTGCCAAAGGGACGATTCAAAGAACTGAAAAGAAACACAGGAAATTTCATCCAAATCACTCCAGAGATTTTTGTACACCTCAAGGCTTTCAGGGCTCCAGTTTTCTGTCCCACCTTGTCTTGATAGAGATTCTTTGATGGTTGTCTAGGGCTGGTGAGATTGAGGAGAGACCAATGCACTTAGGAGCAGGACACACCTATGCCACAGCAGTCTGTCCCTCCCCGTGTTTGAGGATTCCCCTTGCTGAGATGGATGTGCCTCCATCACTCCTACATTTGCCACCCCCTCTCCCCAGGGAGCAGGTCCAGGCCACGTTCCATTGTGAGAGGGTTCTAAGGCTGCACAGGACAGAGCAGCATCAGCCCACACATCTCAGCCCCACTCTCCCAGTCCTCTGCAGCAGGACTGACTGGGACAGAGCAGCCTGGCTGATCCAGGCCTGTTCCCACCCTGTCCTGTTCCCTCCTCCCTGCTCCCACCCCAGCTGTAGAGGAGGAAGAGGCCCATCCTTTACCTCACCACGGCGACGATGAAGTCATCGGGGCCCATGACCAGGACCTGGCTGGCAGCAGCCCCGCTCTCCAGGGGGGAGGGAGGCGTGGACAGGAAGGACTGGGAGTCATTGATCAGCTGGCGCAGGGAATTGGCCTCTGATTTACTTCAGCGAGGAGGGAGGGAGAGAGGAAAGCAAGCTGTGAGCCTGGGGAGCTGGATGTGTCCTGGTGTCTCACACAGCTGGGGCTGGGGGTCCCGAGGGGCTGCATGAGGACAGGGGGCTGGTTTGGTTCACCCCAAGGAAGGAAGGGGTGACAAGGTGGCTCAGTCTGCACAGAGTGGCACTCAGTCTGCCATGAGCCTCCAAAAGCTCTGTCTACCCCTGTTTGCCCTCACCAGGAGTAAAGCCATCCTCGACGGCCAAGGTGACAACCCCAGCTGAATGCCAGTCTTCAGCAGGAGGACAAGTCAGGCCCAGCCCAAACACCAGCCATGGCTCAGCCTGGCTCTGAGGTGGGAAGCTGGGCTCAAACCCCAGGCCTGGCCTCTCCTGCACAGCTGGGTGTTCTGCAAGGCCCTGAGCCCCACAGAGGGCCAGGAGAGGCAGAAGTGGCACGTGTGGCCATGTCCACAGGGATGGCTGTCTGTCTGACCCACTCAAAGGGAATGTTTAGAGTTGTGGCAAAGTGGGAGGAACCCTCAAATTCAAGCTGGCTCCAGGAAACCTCTGAGTGAGGACATCCTGTGACCCTTCCCCAGAGCCCCGTGCCTGTGGTCAGCTGTGATCCTTGTAAAAGAATAAGCCCTGGGAGGACACTCAGGGTCTGACCTTTCCTTCATAAAACACAGGGAGAAAAAGGCACAGGAATGATATCCAACCCACACATCCTGCAACTTCACCTGCCTGTCCTCCTCAGACATACCTCACCATGCCTTCTGCTGTGTGAGTGACAGACACGTCACCAGATGGGTCTCCCAGGTTGCTCGCCAGACTCAGGGCTATTTTTAGTGTCTAAAGAAAGAAAGGAAAGAAAGAAGAGGAGGAGAGGAAGAGAGAAGGAGAGGAGGAAGAGGAGAAAGGGAAAAGAGAGGAGAGGAAGAGAGGAGGAAGAGAAGGAGAGGAAAAGAGAGAAGAGGTGAGGAAAGGAAAGGAGAGGGGAGGGGAAAGGAAAAACATTTATGTGGCCCTGGAAATACAGCTTCTAATACTCCAAACTAGAAGAGGTATCTGGTGTCCTGGTGTGTTGGCTGATCCTTATGAAGAAAAATTACCAGAAGTCTGGGTTCTGGGAATACCACAGTGCAAAGGCAGCCACATGTGGGTATGGGAACCAGGGAGCCTCAGTCCAGCATGGCAAACTGTGCTGGAGGAGCCAAGTGAATCCAGCAGTGCTTGTACAACCACAGAATCACAGAATGGTTGGAGTTGGAAAGGATCTTAAAGCTCACCACATTCCATCCCCCTGCCATGGGCAGGGACACCTTCACATGTTTCTCCAACCTGGTCTTGAATGCTACGAGGGGTGTGGTAGCCACAGCCTCTCTGGGCAACTGCTGCCAGCAGCTCACCATTCTCACAGGGAAGAATTTCTTCCCTTTATCCCCTCTAACCCTGCCCTCTGGCAATGCACTTGCTATTACAAGTGCAACATCCCTGGCAGGAGCTGATGTCCAGCTCAGTGGTTCAGCCTCACTGCCATCTGGCACACAGGGTCTCCAGGACGCCATTTACCTTCTCTTTCCATTCCTGAATGGTCACCACAACAGCAGGGCCCAGACTGAATCCCAATGGGACAGAGGTGCTGGGCTGCCTCTGGACCCCAGCTCTGCTGGCCCAGCACCAGTGCTGAGCAGAAATGAGTGTTCTGCTCTCCAACTGCTGCCCAGCTCCTGGCTGTAAACCATCCAAAGGGCTTGAAAAGAAAGCATCAGTCCCAGCACACATCAGGGAATGATGGTGCAAAAGGAGGAAAAGATCTGGTTTCTCAGACATGCAGAATCCTGCCTGAGCCAGTCCATTGAAAATGGGAAGATGCAATTTCAAAGGACAGGGTTTATCCAACCCTGGGACCACAGCATAGCCAGGGCAGAGCCATGAGGAGAGAGAGAGCTGCTCCTCAGCCAAGCCAGCCTTGAGAGAGAAAGGCTGAGCAGATACACACTCAGCATTCAGCTTGCAGGCTGGGCCATGGTCATTCAGGATCCAGAACAGCCCACTCCCCTGCAGGCAGCCAGTGAGATGTGACTGCTGGTCTGGAATGTGCCACACAGCCACAGCTTCTCCTTGGTTACCAGCTGTGTGGGGAGCAGAACGTGACAAAGCTCTGGAGAAGGCAGCATTTCCATGGAGCAGTGTTCTGACCACCACACTGTCTCAGGGGGACAAGGGCTTGGAGGCCAGGCAAGAGCTCCATGGAAACAGCAGAGCACTTTCACCCCAGAGGCTGAGGACCTCTTAACCTTGGTCCTGGTTGTCCCAGGGCTGGGTACCTGAAGCTGGCCTAGCACTGAACCTCAGCCCCATGATGAGCTGTGGGACCCAGGCAATCAGGGTTACACATCTCCTGAAGTGACTGCCTTGGAGCTGGAGGGTGCTGCTCCAGGATAACCAGCAGGTGAAACTCTTGGCAGAGGAAATAGATTCACCCAAAGCTTCCTGAAGAGAGCTCAAAAATGACTCAGGTGAGTCAACCTCCTGCGCCTCTGCACAGTGTGTGACATCTCTGCTGCATTTTTGCTGAGACACTTCCATGCACCCATTGTCCTGTCTGCTACAAGAGTGTAGTTAAATCCTCAATTAAAACTTCCAGCTGATAGAGCCCAGCTGTGTATCTGTAAATTCCCGACTCATAAACCCTATCTGTGCATCTGTGGAACATCTAAGACCACAACTCTGCTTACAGAGCAGGAGACAGAACACTTGCTCAACCTCCTGGAAAGCTGCAAGGTTTTGGCAGAAGAGTCCTAAATACTGGCAAAATTCTGGACCTCAGAGATCAGGAGGTGGGCAAAAATGTAAACTTTTTTTAAAATGTGAAGTGTTGGGTAGGTTTTCCTTGTCATCACCGTGTAGAGGCTTTTCTTGCAGCACACCTTGCAGTGCCCTCAGGTGCTCTGCAGTGGCCAGGACCACTGGAGCTCAGAGGTGGAGGAACTTGATGGGACCACCCTCAGGTGCTGTGGGGTCATTCTGCAGAGATAACTGTACACAAGAAATGGACAAAGCCACGGTTTGTTCTGAAAAAGCTCTTCCTAAGCAGGTAAGATGCTCCTGCTCAGCCTCTGGGACAGCAGCACTGCTCAGTTTTACACCTTAGCAGTCTATTTGCTCATTCTCCTCTGGGAATAACATACAAACATTTTTGTACAACCACAAAATAAATAAATCATTCTCTAGCAGCACAAGCAATTCAGCCAGATGTTGAACTTCCTCTTACCTCCACCATCCAGTGCAAGATATTCCCTCTGGACCCTTGCCTTGTGATGTTAAAGCCCTCGAGGATGTTCAGTGCTGAGATCAGTGCAGGACCTGCATGTGGAGGAGGGGGGGTGAAAACAAGGTGTCCTGTGGAGGGAAGAGAAGAGGAATGAAGCTGCTTTTGTCAGACACCATCCAGTGAGAGCACTCATCCATAAGGACAGGGAAACCCTTCCTGATTCAAGGGGAAACAATAGAAAGCAACATGATTTGAGAAGGATTTCCCAGAACATCCCTGTTGTATCTTTCTGTTTCTTCATAAGGATGAAGGAAGCCCAAACAGGAATGCTTTTTTACTTCTGCAATTCAGTTCTCATTGGTTGGCTGCTGGTTTCTAGACTGCAGTATGGAAGAATGGAGATGGAATTGTAGAAAACCAGAATGGTTTGGGTGGGAAGGGACCTTAAAGCCCGTCCAGTGGCACCCCCTGCCCTGGGCAGCGACACCTTTCACTATCTCAGGTTGCTCCAAGCCTCATCCAACCTGGCCTTGGGCACTTCCAGGGATCCAGGGACAGCCACAGCTTCTCTGGGCCCTGTGCCAGGGCTTCACCTCCCTCACAGGGAGAGATTGCTTCCTAACATCTATTCTAATCTCTTCTCTTTTAGTCTGAAATCATTCCCCTTGTCCTGTCACTCTCTGCGCATGCTAAAAGTCACTTTCCCTCATTTTTTTTATAAAACTCTTTTACATACTGGAAGGCCTACCTAAAAAATTTGCAACATTACAGCTATAAGGAGGGTAAATACAGGGACTGTTAGAAAATATTGACATTGCATAAAGTTAGCTTTTTTCCCTTTGGGAACTGTCTTCAGCTGTAGGTCCAGCTTCTATTGAGATGTTGCATCAAGATATGACCATGTTGCATCTTTAAACTTCCAAGGGAAAAAAAACATTTCAAAGTACTGAAAATCTCCTGAGCCACCCATGATGCATCAGTGTCAGCAGGAAATAGGAGGAAACTGTCTGGAAGGCCTTTCTGCAGACATTTCAGCACAGTTTTGACTTCAACTCTTGCTCAATGCTGTTGCCACCCCTTGCAAGGTGAAGAAAAGCTTCCCCTGGAGCTGCATGGCTCCAGGGGGAGGGTGTACCTCGATAGGTTGTGTGCACAGGGTCCTCCACAGTGACACTGTAATTGCTGAAATCCTCCTCCACCAAGACTCCTCCGTAGCTGTGGACCTGCACGAGAGCAAAGCAGTGCACCCTGAGCAGCCTGGGCCAAGGCTCTGTGTGCAACACACCCTCACTTCAAACAACTCCACTGAGATCCCTGAGCAGGTGCCAGGTTCCTTAGGGTACCCTGGACATCTGTGCTTTCACAGCCCTGGGCACCTGGCTCACTGTTCAGCACATCAGGATGCTCTGCACTCCCCTCCTAAAGCTCACCCACCCCAAGGGTGCTCCCAGGACATTCTGTCTGCCCAGGAAGATGGGGATTGGCCCTGCCCTGCAGCCTCCCTGCCCTGGCTGGCAAACAGGAGTGTGATAAGGGGCATTGAATACTGCCAGGATTATGGGTCCAGAAGACAAGAAGCTTGGGTATAGCAGGTGGCCATCACTAGAAACATCAACTAAAAAAATCACTGTTCTCACCCTATCTGAAATTATTTCATCTGATAGTGGGTCTGCTGTAGCCTTGGTCTTCCTGTAAGATTCCTGTCAGAGGTACAATGTACCAGGGTTGGTACAGGAAAGATGGGCCATTCTCTCCATTGCAGGTCTTCTGTGGCTGAGTCGTGATGGAGATGAGGGAGGACTATCAGAGGGTGGTGGGGCACTGCCCAGGCTCCCTAGGGAATGGGCATGGCCCCAAGGCTGCCAGAGCTCCAGGAGTGTCTGGACAATGCTCTTAGGGAGAGGGTGGGATTGTTGGGATGCCTGCATGCTCTAATCTCTAACCCAGCTGGCTTCCTTGGCAGGAAAACTCCCCTGGCAAAACTGAATGAATCACTGGAGCAGGACAGCTAATGCAGGGAATGCTGTGGGGCCAGAATGTCAAGCAACCCCAAAGCTGCTAAAGGTGTCTCTCCTACCTGGGATCCCTGTTTCCTTCCCAGAGAAAAGGCTGGTTGGACCCCAGGGCTGTGCTGAGCCAGGACCTGGCTCCCCAGACCCAGCCAGTGGGGAATGGGGCACAAGGAGCAGAGAAAGGGCAAGAAGCCCCAGTCAGCCACACACTGCAGACATCCCAAATTCCCAAGAGAGCACTATTTCCACCTGTGCCTGGAAGCAAAGAGTGGGTGTTTTGGAGCTGTTGATTTCACCAGATGGATGCCCTCCCTGTGCTGGAACAATAACCACTTTGTGAAGGCAGCACTTTGCTCTGCAACCAAAGCTGGAATTGTGCACTGGATCCCAGAGCTTGTCAGGTCTTTGATGTGCCAACCCTGGGCCTTGCTTCTCCACAGGGAATTTGTGCTTCCCTGTGGCAGCCCCCAGGTCAGGGAAACACAGTGACAAAGCAGGGTTTAGCTGTGGAGATGCTTGGGACTCCTCCTGCTCCTCATCCTTCACCTCTGCTGTAGTTCAGGTGAACTGTAGATTTCCAAACACAGAGCCCACAGATGTCTGAGTCTTGAGTGGAATGAACACATTCCAGATTCTTGATGAGCTATTGAAGGAGAACCACTTGAGCCACGGTGGCACAATAAAATGGTGCTCCAACTACCCTGACTGCAGCCACACAGATATAAAAGTTGCTATGGTTTGTTGGGGGCTTTTTTCACCAGAATTACTTTGTCTGTTCTGATATTTTTTCCAGAGCACCTCTAACAGGAGTTAAACTAGGGCAACCCCAAGTGGGACCAAGCCTTTCTAATCCTCTGCTCACAAGACTCAGGGTTTTTTTTAAACCATCTTCCTGAAGTCTGTATCCTACAGTCCCATTAACCACAACAACTTGTTTCTCAACAGCCTCTCATCCTGGGGGAAAAGGCTTTGTCACCCAAGTGAACAGAGCCTAGAGCCCAAAATGATTTTTGTTTCCCTTCCAGACTGTTCTGGTTATAGAGGAAATGGAGGTTTCACTTCTGTAGACTGTGGGAATGGCCTGTGTGTCAGTACTCCCACTACTGCAGGGACAGGAAAGAGAAAGAAGGCATCTGTCCCCATCATTGTGCTGGCACTTGGCTTATCTGCAGTTTGTCACCTTAAGCAGGTGGCAGCCCCAGGCTGGCAGGTGCCAGGGGCAGTCCTGGCTCACCTCAGAGATCATCTCCTGGGTCAAGTTCCCGCTGTAGAAGGCTGCCACCCCTTCTGCCCCCAGCAGCTGCAGCATGGCCGCCAGGTCCAGGCGCCGGACGAACATCCCAGGCAGCAGGGGCTGCCCACCCGGCAGGAAGAGCTCCTGGAATCGCTCAGAGTAGTTCAGGTCCTTCAGCTCACTCAGGGCTTTGGCTGCAGGTGAGAAGGGGAAGGACATCCAGAAAAAGCAGGGGTCAGGAAGGCTCAAAGGACCTGGAGTCACTGTGCACCTGATGGGGATGTTGGAGACCTGCTGCTGCCTCTGGTCCTATTGCAGAACTAGAGGGGAGCTGGACCACTGGTCCTTTGGAACTGGGAAAGAAACCCAAAGAAACCCCAGAACCCTTCCCTGCCTGGCCCTGGGCACTGCCCAGTGTGGTTTGTCTGCCCTGGCTCTGCCCAGACATGGCAAAGGGCTCCCGTTTGGCTGCCACCACGCTGTCCCTGGCAGACTGTGGCTCACACATTGCTCAGCTCCCAACAGCATCCAATCTCCACGTCCACAAAGCCCTGATTTCCCATGACTAACCCCCTGCATCCCCAGCTGCCTTGCACAGTGAACTGCCCTAAGCTGCCCATCAGGTACTCACCCAGGTCATGTGTGACATTAAAGCCATTCTGGGCAACATCGGCCGTGAGGCCCAGCAGCTCGGACCAGGGGAGCCTGGCAAGGGAGAGAGGACAAGGAGAAATGGGCCTTGGAGGGCTGCAGTGGGGCAGGGTGGTGGGGAGCTAGCACAGGGCTTGGCTCTGCAGTCAGGGCTCCTGGGACACCAGGCTGTGGGGCCAGCAGTGGCCAAAGGAGGCACTGAGCTTTCAGTGTTTCTCCTCAACAGGATCATGTCAGTGCTCCAGGATGTGCTCCAGAGAGAAATGGCTGTGCATGGATGGGGGAAGGGCTGTGCCAGCAGCAAGAGCTCAAGCCAGGCTCTGGTGGTGAGCAAGTCATTCAGATCCCTCTGTATCCCAACAGAGCACCAAGGACGGCCACACCTCTTAGGGTGAGCTAAAGAGACAATGAAAATGCACAGACACGCAGGGCCATGTGCTGCAGCTCTAACAGAACATTCATTGTACATCTTCTTCGCCAACAGTTCACTTTGCAGAAAACATGACCAAGCTGAATTTTTTCTTTGGTACATGAAATAGCAAAAAAATAATCATCTCTTTCAACACAAGCCTCTAAGTACCTCTTTGCTGATGGTTTTGACTGGTGGCTGAGAACATGGTCTGATGGCAAGGGCTCATGTGCTCCCAGCTTCCCACAGGGACCCCAGGGCACAGCCTGTGCCAGCCTCATGTCTTACCTGCCATGTAACTGGTGTGCCTGGTGCATTCCTAGGATCATGCCTGGCACCCCTACGAGCAGACCTGGCTGTAAAACAGGAAGGACAAAAAGGAAGAGTAGTCTCCTTTCCATGAGGACATGGGACACCGTCCCCAACTGCAAGGGGAGGTGCAAATCATGCTTACTTTGGAATTATCTGCATAGTTAGGAGAGGGGAAGAGTCTGTAGCAACACACTTTACTATGAAATAAAAGGTTTTGGAAGGAGAGAGGCAAATTCAATCTTGTTCTCAACCCAGTTTGGTCAGGAGAGAGAACTCAGCAGTACAACCTGGGATTATGCTCCTTCCTGGGACTCTTGTCCTCCCAGCACCCTGGTGCCACAGAAATGTACCTCTTTATTCCCCAAAGCTCTGCAGGTATTTCGGGGCTGATAAAGAAGTTTTTTTTCCCTAGATTCCTCATGTCTGCAGGGCCCAGGATCTCCCATGATGAGAGAGACCTCTTGCAGCTTTGCTGGACATCTGCCCCTCAGCCTGAAAGTTGGAGAGAGGAGAGCTGGAGACAATGGCTGTGGGCCGGGATCTCACCTTGCTGTCCTGCTGCGGGTCCCCTTCCAGCGGGATGCCCAGGGGAGCCACCTCACGGAAGTCGATCACCCAGCTCCTGTTCTTGCGGATGTCGTGGACCAGCATCACCCCGCCCCTGCGGCGAGACAGGTTCAGGGCGTGGCGCGGCCGCTCCAGCAGCACCGCGGCCGTGCGGCTCGGGGGGCGCTGAGGCCAGGGCGGCCCGGTGAGACAAGGGGCGCTGTGCCAGGTCACCCGCCCCAGCAGGGCCACCAGGTGGCCGGAGTAGCAGCGAATGCTGCTGTCCTTGCCTAGGGCACACACCAGGACAGCCAAGGCAGGGTTGGTGTGGGACGCAGGCAGCCCTGTGCTGAGCCTGGTGAGGCTGGAGCAGTCCCTGCCTGCCTGGTCATGGAGCCACTGGCTCTGTTCCACTGCCAGGCTGGGACCATCTGGGATTTTCTTTCTAATCTGAACAGTTTTGCAACAAAAGACGGTGCTTGCTTACAGCGGCAATGGGTGGTGCAGCTGGAGCAGTAATCAGGTGGCTTGGGTTTATACAACGCTGCTGAGCCCTCCTGCAGAGCCAGGAGCACCGGGCTCACGTGGATGCCACCCTAGGAATGAGGGCTGGAGAAGGACACCCCTCCCTGGCAGCTTCTTGGAGCTGGGCTCAGACCTTAGCCTCGGGAGCAGAGCTTGTGGAAGGCAGAACTCAGGCTCTGAAAGCACTGGGGCTGAGCCCAGGGTGTTTGTAGCTCCTGGCACAGCTCCCATGGCTGGGGGGCCATGTCTCCCTCTGCCCCTCACCAGCCCTCTCGAGCCTGGGGCTTGGATGCTTCCTGCACCAACTTCAGCAGAAACAATTCCCTGCCTGGTGTTTCTGTCCTGTGCTGACAGCATGGAGCACGGGAAGGGTCACTGTGACAGATGTGGACACATCCACTGCCTGATGTCAGAGCCCTGGCACCACACCCTGAGCCTGGCACTGCCATGGAGGCATTTCTCAGGTGAAGAGGGACTTTTTACAAGGGCAGATGGTAACAGAACAAGGGGGAATGGCTTTACACTGACAGAGGGCAGGTTTACATCAGGTATTTGGAAGAAATATTCCTCTGTCTGAGGAGGAGGTAGGGGAACCAGGCACTGGTGCAGGCTGCCTCATCCCTGGAAGTGTCCAAGGCCAGGCTGGATGGGGCTTGGAGCACCCTGGGATAGTGGAAGGTGTCCCTGCCCATGGCAGAGGGTGGCACTGGATGGGCTTTAAGGCCTCTCCAACACAAACCACTCTGGGGTTCCATGAAACCACTCCCTTGGGGACAGCCGAAGCCAGGAGCAGAGGGCGAGTGCCCCACACTTACCCTCCCAGGCCCGAGGTGTGGGGGTTGACGATGCCGGCGCACAGGGCCGAGGCGATGGCGGCGTCCACCGAGGAGCCGTGCCGGGCCAGCACGTGTGTGCCCAGCGCCGTGCAGCGCGCCGCGTCCGTCACCACGGCGCCGCGGTGGAACAGCTGCGGGACACAGAGGGCACCCTGGGCACTGCTGCTCCTGCCCGGCTCTGTGCACACCCACCCGTGTGCCACCTGAGGCCTGGGGCCAGCGCCGGGGCCGATCCAACCAATGCCAGCGGGCACCGTGCGTCCCTTGGCACATCCCCGCTCCAGGGCAGCTGCAGGCAGCCACGGCCACCAGTTCAGACAGCTTTCCACACTTGGTGTGCCAGGCTGGGGGGCCACATCTCCCTCTGCCCCTCACCAGCCCAGAGCTGTCCCTGTGCTGCAGCCAGGCAGTCATCAGGAATGGGGATACAGCTGTAAAGAATGCAGCAGGGCCCCAGGACCACAGCATGTTCTCATCCTTGTGCCAGAGCTGTGTTAATGCTGTCCCATGATATTTTAAAGAGTTGATTTTGTCCCTATGGCACAAATTGCAGCATCTTAACAAAAGCCAGGCTGGCCTGGGGACATGAAAAGACAGAAGGGCCATGGCTGCATGTGGAGATGATGATGGTGACTCCTGGCTGACTGTGACCCTGGCAGAGGTTCTGCAGGGTCCAATCCTGTAGCCATACTGCCTTGGCTGTGCAATCTAGTACTGGGCCGTGGGACAGATTAGCGGGCGGTTCACCTCTGTTTTCAGCTATTTCGATGTTGTGGTGTGTTTTATGCTTGTTCAGTTTTCCCCCCATTGTTCTCTCAGAAAGTCCTGCCCTGTTACCAGTTTGTGTCAATCCCCAAACCCCTCCCCAGTTGTCTTGGTTACCAAATGTATTTTTCTTGTTCCCCACCCCTGGCAGCCTGCCTGTCACTCGACACCCCTGCCTCTTTTTCTAGAGAGTTCGGGCCAGGGTGTCGGGTGATTGGGTTAGGGGCCAGGGTCCCTCCCGCAACTGTGTTTGATGGGTTCTCCGATTATGCCAATCCTTAATGTATCCCTCTCTGATTTGCTATCTTTCACCCCTCCCACCCTCTGTAAAACCGAGGCTTTTCCCTGCCTCGGGGCTCTCAGCTTCTTCCACCGAAAAACTCCACGTTTCCCTACCAATAAAACCACCCCCCGAAGAAACTGAGGGTCGCCTCTTCATTTCATCCTGCGACTTCGGAGCTCTCTACTGCGGCCACACATCCGCAAGGCTTGACATCGCCTTAGGCACAAGGCCCCTGACTCCGGGTTGGGGAAGTGCCTTACTGGCTGGAGGTTGGCTGGACACTTATCTAGCCTGGGCGTTTCACTTTTCACCGGCCACTGCTCCATTCCTCTACTTAGTCCTGGATGAATCTTCCAGAGGTGAATCTGGGCATGTATGCCCATAATCCATAAAACTCTGTCCATGTGGACAAGATGCCTACTGTTTCACTAAGAATTATTTTCTGAAAGCATTCCCATCTAGTTCAAACCACAGCTGCAGTCACAGAAGTGGGGTTTTCTGTTCCCCCCCGGCAGCACCCCCAAACCTGCCTGACACAGGCCCCCACACCTGGCCATGGGACAAGCTCTGAGAGTCTGGCTCGGCTCTCCAAGTACAACCTCCAGGTGCAGGAAAAGGCTTTCAAGCCAATTTGGGGTGGAACCAGGGGGAGACTGGCACCCAGGGCCTCACTGACACCAGCCATGGCTCCCCAGTGCTTCCCTTGTCGAACTTCTGACCAGGAGGGAAGTCAGGGAGCTCTCCCATCTTTGGAGCCAAAGCCCAACCATAAAGCCACGGTTTTGTCTTACCTGAGGGTCCCCAAAATAGATCTGCATGATGAGGGCCACGGTGACGCCTGTGGCGAAGGTCAGGCAGGCGGTGATGATGACGGTCAGCCCGTCCTGCCGGCAGCTGCAGTCTCCTGAGAAGGGGTCCTTGCTGGTCTCCTGCAGAGGGGACACATCCTGGCTCCCCATCTCTGAGGAGGACGAGGGCAGGCGCTGGAGACGCGCAGACTTCAGGAAGGAGTCTGGGTCTTTGTGGGCAACAGGGAGAAAACAGGTGTGAGTTATTGAGCAACTTGGGGCTCTTATTGCAGTGTTTACCCAGCACTAATGTTACACTGAGCCCCTTCCAGCACGGCTATCACCTTCCCCATTGATCCCAGCCCTCAGGAGCCTTTCTGGCTCAGATACTGCTTTGAGTCATTTTACTGATCCTTTTCTTTAGCTCTGGTTATTCCAAACTGACTTCCCTGGAGATTAAGAGACAAGAAACCCTTGAATTTTTACTCCATTTCAGTCCATTCATCAGCCTTCAGTGACAGGCCCACTCTTATGCTCCATTTGGAGGGGTTCTTAACACAGCAAACAGGTCTTTGAAATGCAGCAGGACTGAAGAAGAGGAAATTAAGATATGAAAAAAGATGCAGCAGCTTTACTTGGAGCTGTGATTGAACTAAAGCACCTGATCAAAACAGAGGTAAAGCAAAACATTTGGCCTGGGAAGAGAAAATCCCTCTAGGGAAGCGAGGGCAGGGAGGAGCAAACCTGCAAACCGGAGGCCTTGGAACATCCACTGGCTCCTCTGCAGGAAGGACTCTGCTTTAATTCCTTGCTTCCTCTGGCAGATGAGGCCCACTGTGAAATGAAGCCACACACTGGACACCCAGCTCCAAGATGGCAAAGCAGTGGGGCAGGAGTTTGTTGGGCCTCAGCAGGATGAAAAAGTCTTTTTTGCTCGGAAAGATGCCTTGAATCTCTGTGAGTGTCAGCTGCTGCCCTTGTGCTGGGAGGACACCGGCTAAGGATGCCCTGCCTGTCCTGGTGCTGTCAGGCACACAGAGCTGCTGGGGCAGCTGTGAGGTTGTGCCCATCCCTCATGGGCTCTGAAGGGGATCAAGTAGCTCAGGGCATCATCCAGGGCTCCTGGAGGAATTTTTTCAGGGGCTGCAGTACTCTGTGCATCCATAGTGGAAGAAGAGGCACCAAGTGGAAAAGACAAGATTGTCCCTCCGTATAGATGTTTCCTGGGCTTGGAAAAGGAGAGGGGAGAGAGCAGGAAAGCCCACATCCCCCATCAACTGCCTGCCTGTCTGCTCTGGCAGGTGCTGGGTATCACCCTGGGCACTGCCAGCCCAGTCCTTGTCATGGCATTAACCTGACCTAGCTGCAGCTTTCCTGAGGCCAGGGAGGGAAGGAATTTTAATTTCAGTGATGCTGCAACCAGGAGTAAACTTCCACAGCCAGGAAATCCCCTCAGAGGGAATTTAATCTCATTTGTGCTGTGGTGGTTTAGGAGTGGGACTGGGAAAGGCTCAGCTTTTGCAGCCTGAGCCTCTGAGCACACACTGAGCCCCTCATGGGCTTTTCTGGTCTAAGCGAGCTGGACTGAGCAGGAGGACTGGCTGGTGGCCTCAGTGGGGACCACAACTGGCCTGGCAGGGGCTGCCATTGGGGTGGGATGTCACATACAGCCCCTGGCACACACGAGTGAGGCCCCAGTCCCACCTGCAGGGAAACAGTGGGGAGTGAGCTGGACTCCAGGACACCATCCCTCTGCTCTGGTGACAGGCCAGCCCAGCATGAGGGGACATGAATACCTTGGAAGCAACAGTAGAAGAGGGCAGGCCACAGCCCTCCCACCATGCAGCACCTCCATTCTCTGCCACAGACATCCTATTTTTAGTCTTTGTGCCCACCGGTGTTGCATAGGGACAGCAGAGCTGCGGTGTGGGGATGGGAGCAGCTGGAAGGGGTCACTTGGGATCAGAAGCAGCCTGCGTAGCCAATGCACAGCTGCCCATCCCAACACCAATGTGCATGCTTTGAAAAACAAGCCACCAAATCCCACTTGGCTTCTGTGGGGCCATGAAGGAGTTGTGGCTTTAAGTGGGAGCCAATGCTTTGGAGAACCAGGGCCACCTCAGGTCTGGAGCTACTGCAGAGGAGACAGCAGAGACTGGAGCTGCTGGTGGGCTCTGCAGGTGCTCCTGCAACAAGTGTCAGGAGAGCAGTAGCTTTCTTCTCCAGCAACCCCACCTGCAGGTGCTGGCACTGCCAAAAGTCCACCAGATTCTGGCTGTGTGACAAGAGGCCTTGTGCTGCCAGGAGAGCTGCTCCCACACTCCTGCCAGCAGCGGCTTTGCCTCGATGGTCAGGAGAGCAGAGGGTGGGAACGGGCAATGGGAGCTTCACCCGTGGGCATGGTGGGACAGGGCAGAGGGCAAGGGGAGCCTGGGGCTGTGCAAACATGGGCTTGGGGACTGACAGGCACCCGGACTGGGAACCAGCCCCAGGGGGAAGGGCAATACCGCCAGAAGAAACACGACATGGGGGAGAAATAGCATTTCTCTCAACTATGGAGGAGGAAGCAATCAGTTAAAAATAGGCAGAGGATTTTCTCATAGATCAAACGATCACCTGACTTTATTCCAGCTGAGCACCGGAGGGATGAAGCATCCCGAACTGAGGGATGTGCAAGGAGCACCCTAGGGTGGGGGGATGCTCAAGGAGCATCCCAGGCGGAGAGACGCTCAAGGAGCATGCAAGAAGGCCATGCACAAGTGGTCCAGGCCGGAAGGCCGAGCAGGCTGTGGGAGAGCACATTCCAGGCTGCCCTGGGAGGCTCTGTGCCGAAGCCCCGGATCTCTGGCTGCCTTCCGTCCCTCAGGGTGAAGGCGGGGCCGGGGCGCAGGGACGGCGGGAGCCGGGGAGCCCCGCTCCGGGCGCGGGGCCGAGGGCCGGGGGTGCCGGGGGCCGCGGGCGGGCTCTGCCGCCGCCCCTCACCCGTGTCCTGCTCGCCCAGGAACGCGTCCTCCTCCTTGCGGGCGCGGAGGCCGCTCTCGGCCGCGCCGCTCGGCTCCTCCTCGGGCAGCCGCGGGAAGCTGGTGATGCTCATGTAATCCACGGGCGAGCCGGCGGCCAGGGCCCGCTGCCGGCCCGGCACCGCCTCCGGCACTGCCATCGCCGGCTCACCCCGAACCGGGTCACGCCGAGCCGGGACACCCGAGCCGAGCCGGGACCCACAGCGGCGCCGGGCCGGGCCCACCGCTCCCGGTCAAACGGAGCCGCCCCGCGCCGGCCGGGCGGGGCAGCCGGAAGGGGCCGGGCTCAGGGGCGGCTCCTCCCGGGGCTGGGGGCGCTCCGGGCCGCTCCGGCAGCCAGCGCCGGCAGGCGGGGAGGGTCCGGACCCCGCTCCAGCCGGGGCTGCTCCATGGCCCGAGCTCCCCTTCGCCCCTGACCCACACAGGGGGATCTGCCCCGGCCACGCCGCACCAGGCGGGTTCCGGGCCAGGCCTCCGGGGAGCTGGATCCGAGATTCCTACGTCCGCCTCCAGAAGGCTGGAAGAGTTTTCCAGGGGATGTGCATGGACATTATGTCGCTGCCACAGCCAGCCCCTAGCAGAGGGCTCGCATGTCACCCCTTGTCCTGGGGCAAGGGACCACCAGCGCCCAGTGGACCATCAGCAAGAGATGCTGTGACATTGGCCCAGAGCGGCCGGGTGTCTGCTCTGCCACAGCCTGCCTTCCATCGCTGCCTGCTCGTGCGTGTGGATGAGAGCTGGACACCGCCGTTCCCTCTGCAGTACAGGGGGTTTGGGTTGCCGTTTGCAGGTGCAGCTGGCCAGGCTCGCCTGGCACTGGTGGCTCCCTGCTCCTGGCTCCGGCAGCACCAGCACAGGTGTCAGGAGGGGCTGAGGCTGCTGGGCAGCACAGGGAACCAGCACAAAGCCGGGGGGAGCCAAATGGGGGCACAGGGCCAGTTAAGCCTGGGGCAGGCCTGAGCTGTGGTTACCAACAGCTCCCATTTGGCAGAGTTGTGGTGGACTTACATGCGTTGAGGGGCCTGGATTACATGGATGTTTCTGAGATCAAATTGGCTGAAACATTTAAATTTTCCCCTGCACTTCTTCCAGAGATTGACCTAAAAACTGCCAGTAAAACATCTGTAAGATGGAAGATGTTGTTTCTCTCCGTGGTCCAAGTTTGTGAAAATTCCTTATCCCAGCAACAACACTGGCCTCTCTCGACTTGGCACACAAACTTGTCTCTTTGGCTGCCAGATCTGAAAAATCCATCTACAGCCCCAATGTATCCTGGACATCTGTTGTTTTGGGAGGCAGAGCATGTGAAGTGCTGTTTGGATCTGGGGAGGTCACCTGACAGGTACATGTCCTACTTTCTCATCCTCCAATGAGCCAGCTAATCCCCTGCATGAGCAGCTCCACTGGCTCGGTGTTTCTCAATGCAGGGATTTGTAAATCTTCCTTTGCTGAGGCACTGGTAAGGTTTTGGTTGTGCCTCCAGCAGCCCGAGGGCATCATGACCATTGCTAGCTATAGTAAATAAATAAATAGGACTAGGGACAGGAGTGGGATAGTTTGGCTTTTGCAAACCAGTCTCAGTCTGCTCCACTTTCAGGCATCTGTCCAGTCTCCCCATCCCCAGCAGCTGGAGGGGTTTCTTCCCCACCACTGCATGTTCAACAAGGCCAGGAGCTATGTCCATACTGCATCCTCTTCCACCCACTGCCTGGCAGAGGATCAACCCACCAGCCCAGCCTCTGCCTCTCTGGTGTTTAAGACAAGCCCAAACCAATTGGCTGTGACAGGAGCAGCCACCTCAGCCCCTCTGGCTGGCGAGGTGCCACCCCCCTTGTGTCACAGCTGGCTCCAGCCTGACCGGCCCCTGGGGCTGTGGTGGGGCAGAAGGTCAGAGCCCCGGTCAGGGAAGGTTAATGTGGCTCTGGCCTACCCCAGATCAGATCCCACAGGCTCTGGAAGGAGCCACGCTGGGGGACAGTGGAGTTGCTCCTCAGAGCTGTTGGTCAGCAGTCAGGGACTCTCCCTGAGGGTCAGCACAAAGCTCCTCGAGGCTGAGAGCCCTCAGCTCATTGCATAGGGATTGTGCATTCCAGGGGACCCTTCTGAGATCTTGAGAATTTGTACAGTCAGGTGGTTCCAATTCTACTTCACAGCACGAATCTGTATTCATATGTTGGCTGAAGTTTAATTGGTTTATCTAGTTTAATTGGTTTATAAAAGAAGTTTATTTGAATATATTGTCTCAATGTTACAAGCTTTGTGACACCTGTAGGCAGCGAAAAGCCAACAGCTGTGAGCAATCTTTGCAAGCTTGGGAATCAACCTGGGGAACTGCAGAGATGGTGACACCCCATGAAGAGGACAGAGGCTCCTTGGGGGGTGCTGCCACCCCAACAGGCACTGCTCAGTGCCAGGTCTAGCTGGGCTCTGACAGCTGGGATTGGCAGGACTTGAGATGCCTGGGGGCACAGCCACCCTCCAACACCCCTTGGCACCCACCCCAGTTTTCTCCCTTTAAGACCCACAGTAACTTGCATTAATTTCAGCACATTATGTGCCTGGAGGCCAAGGACACCAGAAACTCCTTTACCAGTTCCACCACACAAAACACTTGCTGCTCACCTCTCAACAAGGTTAGGCCAGGGAATCTCTCTCTCTCCTGCCAGGGACTGGCTGCTCTTTGCTGAAAGCCAAGGTGATGTTCTGCAGGTCTGCAGCTTAGCAGGGAGCTGCACTGTGGGCAGTGCAGCCTCCGTGTCAGCTCCATGAGGATACAGCTGCTCCTGGAACTGTGTCCCAGCAGCTGGGGCTCCCACAGCCCAGCTCTCCAGAGCAGGAAGGACATTGTTCTCCCCAAGCTGAGGCTCTGTGGTAGCACTGAGCCCCACCAGCCATTGGCTCTTTCCCACCAAGGAGTGCAGAGTGCAGAGCAAGCTTGTGCCAGTGCAGAACTGTGAGGGCAGGGGTGCTGCCCAGGCCCTGCTCTCCCACAGCATTCCCTGCTCCTGTCAGCCAAGGCTCTCCTGTCTTCCCAGCACCAAACCACGCTCTCCGCTACACCATTCCCGTGTCAACCTCTCAAATCCCTGCAAGTGCTCCCTGTATTTACAGTTCTCATCGTTTGCAAGATGCTCAGCTCCCTTCTGCTGGCTGCCACATTGCCTTGAGCTTAAAATTAAACCCCCCCCCCCCCCTTCATGAGCAGGCACCAAAGATTTAGTTGTCCTGCTGACCAGCACAGGGGATACCAGCTCCTAGACCCTGAGGCACCCCTTAAAACAGGAACCTGAAGAGAGAAAAACCTGCAGCTGGGTAACAGTAATCAGTAAATTCTCTGCAAGGAGCCTTAAAGATACCAGAGGCCAATGTCTGTTCACAGTCATGATCCTCCTTGGCTCAGGTTCAGCTTCCAGCCACTGGAACTGCACTGAGCTGTCCAAGGAACTGAGCTGGTGGGAGCACAGGCAAGCAAGGAATAGAACAGAGGGTCAGGGAAGCAGCTCTGCACTCTCTCTGCACGTGGTGCAGCAGTGCTCCAGGTCCTGCTCCAGACCACACCTGAGCAGTCTGGAAGGAGCACTGGCTCAGTGTCACAGGGCAGGAACAGTCACTAAAAGAACAGCTTGAACAGGCAACATGGCTTAGCCTGCTTAGCTGAAGCATGGATCTAAGCATTAGCTACCACTGCAAATGCTTCTGGCCTCTTCTCAAAGTGCAGCACAAGAGATCCAAGAATCCCAAAAACTTTACCAAAAAATCCAACTCTGAAAGGAATCCCACACTCCCACCATTTTACAAAACATCAAAGACCAGAGGACACAGAAGCTGCACAGTGGATTATTCAGGCAACATTTATTGTAGCATTTCAAGTATACAATGGTTTTACTGATGGCTGTAAGCAGCTAAGATGCAGACAGATGCCAGCAGGAAAGGGTGACCTAGCACTAGCAGGCTATGCAATTCTCATGGGAAATTAATGATTTCAGCTAATAGGAGGGGAAGAGAAAGTAGCAGACTAAAAGCTTAGGCAAGTTTGGGGATAGGGAGGAGAAAATAAAGAAGTTTTTTGGAGATAATTTACTTAAATTGGCCACTCACAAGTAGCAGAAGCTGTCTGCTATTGCACTCTTCCCTTGGCATCCCAAGGACCTAAAATAACCAGGGCTGTTTCTTCACCAAGAACAGGCAGATTTTCCCTGGTAAGAGTGGAGGCTCGCCCAGGCTCAGCACTTGGAGATTGAGATCCCTGGCTTTGCACTCCCAGTGAGAGCCAGGCTGTGGCACTTCCACCAGAGAGGAGGCAATGCAGGCTTGCAGCAAGAGCACACTAAACTACCAACCCCTCACTATAAGGCAGCGTTAGGTCAGGACTCTTTTGGGTGCCTGAGCTGTTTAGAGAAGCAAGGACCACATGGCAACAAGACTACAAGGTCCTGTGACAATAACAAGGACTGTGCGTGTTTCCCAAGAACTATTTCTGAAAGACACGTTCTTAAAAAATACCTTAAAGCAGAGACTCCCCATCGATGCACAAAAAGGGCATGACTAGGGAGGGACTGAGCTATGAAGTGATCAAGCACCTCCCAAACCACAGGTTGTATACTCTGCCCAGTTGGCAAGTTGGTACTTCTGCATTTAAGATAATAGCTGCCTTGATTGTGTTTTAGTGTCCTGCATTTATGAACAAAGAGCAGTTGAATTCAAGAGCTTAAAACCAAATTGAAACACTAACATTTAACAGGGTATCTCCAGAATGACTCCTTCGAGACTACGAAGCTCTGAGGTATGTGATGGCAACTTGGTAGTCAGGCTGGCGGAGTGCAGTGGAGCTTCTAAGCCTCCTGAATACATCTTGGTTCACCAAATGAATCAGTTCTTCCTAGCAAAATCACTTAAAAATTTGTCTTCGGCAAAAAGCATTTAAAAATTCAGATCAACAACTGATTTGCAAGTAAAACAAAACCAAAAAAAATTAGAAATGGTAACAACACAGTCTGTTTAATCAAATCAGATCTGGTTACTACAAAAACATGCTAAGGACAGCCACCAGCTCATGTCCTGGGTGCTGCTGTGCCTTCTGCCCACATACCTACAACTGCTTTTGAAACACTGTTTGTCTAAAGGACAACCATGGAAGACA